AAATCGTGATGCAACTGCCAGTGAATGGAGTCTACAAGTCTTAGTGCCAAGTAACCCTGATCTTCCTAGATCGGAAGGAAGAACTTCTTACAAAGCAAGATCAACTCATTGGTCACTGGGCTCCAAGCATGACAGGGTCCGTGGCTCTGGCTTTGCCAACTAGAATCAAATGAGAGCATCTAGACATCTTCGCCTTTCCCTCCAGCTTAATCCAAGTGCAGTCAAAGACAGGACACTGGACCAGAAGGATTCTCACTTCCTTTAGGATGCTTATCGACGAACTTTGGAGCACAGTAGGCTCACACAGGAGACTGGACAAGTATTGAGAATACGAGTACTTTCAATATATTTCATGTTCTACCAAGCCCAGATATGGCTGAACTCACATGTTCAATGTGGACATGAGGCAACATTTTATCGAGTTCCCTTCAGTGAACCAAAGAGTTGTAGATGTTTGGGGTGCACATTAGCCTGAATTAGACTCACCTCATCTCTGCTAATAAGTTCATTGGAAAACGTGAGGCCAGGCATCAGGCCCCGTTTCTTGAGCCAGAATATCGACGCAAAAGAACCCGAAAAGAAGATTCCTTCCACGGCAGCAAAGGCCACAACCCGTTCTCCTGTGAAGAGTTAACACCGACATGGTTCCAGTGAGCAACTGTGCATGAGCACAGGAAGGGCCAACAAACCATGATGTCACTTAGAGGATGAAACTCAGGCATCCGTGGGGCCAGGTGGCCTTACCATAGGTAGCTTCTTTGTCCCCAATCCAACGCAAGGCCCAATCTGCCTTCTTCTTTACACAAGGCATCGTCTCGATGGCGTTGAAGAGAAATTCCCTAGGAGACACCCAGAGTGTCAGCAATTACAGCAAAGACTTCCTACCACAAACATGTAGAGAACACTGGGACCAAGGCGAAATCAAGACTCAAAACTGAAATGTTTTCTCATTACCTTTTTTGCTTCCCACCCCCACCAAGTGTTCTTTTTAAAATCCCAACATTCATTTGGCTCCTGTTAATACCAATATAGGTATTCTTTACTTCACAGGGAGCCCTGAGATCTACTAACCTTAAAAGTCTTAGTCCATTACACCAAGAACATTTATCGGCTTTATTATCAAGTCCAGGTCATGACAAAGTTCACAGGCCCTATCTTTAAACTTGAGAAGCCATAAAATCTTAACTGCTAAGACTATTTAAGCTACGCTGACCATTATCTTCCTAGGTAGCACCATCTTCACTAATCATATCGGGCTAATTATATAGGCCCCAAATGCCATATATGCATTTAATAAAATAAATGCCATATGGATATAATAAAATAATTAAAGCCAATAAACCGAATAATCTGAGCTTGCTTCCTACTTTTAAGTCTATACTACACTGATGATCCCAGATCAGGAAAGTAAATCAACTGTCCCCCCAACTTGCCTACTTCTTCCTTATTATCCTCTTCCGCCTTCATTGTATCTCTGTGCCCAGTTTGGGAGTCTAGATTCCCCAACCTGTTCCTTTATCAGGTGACCTTGTCTTCTGAACCCAAGGTCAACAGAGCAACCACATTGCTCTCTTCATTCTCTTTCCATGTCGACATCCTGAGACCAGGGTCTGCCTCTCCCTAGCTTTTGAACCACCAGACCCTCCTGATCCTACTGCCCGTTCTGTTTATTTATCTCAGTCAAGCCTACGTTTATCCTTCCTCATTTCGGTCTATACACTTGTCTCCCTAAGCCTGCCAGCCCTTCCAAGCCACCACTCATTTTTCCCCTTCACATTATTCCAGATAAGCCACAAGAGCCTACTTTACAGCTCTATCACTTCTGTACCACGCAGGACTCTCATCCTGAAGTTGACCTTGGTATCTAGACCACTCACACAGCCTTTTCTAACTTTCTCCTCCTCTCCAATCTGGAAAATGTAAAACCGGCCTCAAGCTACCTTGATTTCTCCTCTGTGATCCCATAATGCAAACCCATCTCCTCACAGTCCTGTGCCTAAACTCATCTATCAGTAAACTGCTGCCTTTGCTTCACTCTAGAATCTCTCTCTTAAACTTGTTTTCCGTACCACATTTCAAGGTCTTTAAGAGGAAAAGTAACGTTCTATTTGGATGTGTCCTCTATTCCCCTCCACTTTGCCCCAGCTTCTCGTTTGAGGTTAACAGATTTGCACATGAGTAAAAACTGTCAGACCTAGGATTTCCTTCATCATACAGCCTCAATGGATGTGTTTTGTTTTGGAAGAAAGACATTGGATTCAATGACCAACAGTATACTCCCACCTCTAAAAATGGAGTAACCTCATGACTTTTTTTTTTTAAGATTTTATTAAAAAAAAAAGATTTTATTTATTTATTCATGGGAGACACAGAGAGAGATGCAGCAGAACACAGGCAGAGGGAGAAGCAGGCTCCATGCAGGGAGCCCGATACGGGACCCGATTCCGGAAACCTCAGATCATGTCCTGAGCTGATGGCAGACGCTCAACAACTGACCCACCGAGGCGTCCCTCATGACTTGTTTTTAAGTGACTGGCCAATAAAGTGAGTTTAGGCCTCTTCCTCAGAGCACACAGGACCAGGGGCAGTAGAAACTGCCTTGTCTGCCTGCCTAGTCTCTTGGAATCCTTCTACCCCTATGTAAACGCGAAAACTTGAAATATTTTAACAATTAGTGAATCCTGAACACGTTGGCAGACCACCCAAATACTCACCTTTCTTTGGAATCTTTAATATAAGTGTCAATGAGGAGACTATACATCTCAGAGTGGATGTTTTCCATGGCGATTTGGAAGCCATAGAAACAGCGGGCTTCTGTAATCTGAACTTCTTGGCTAAATCGCTCCACCTAGTGGTAGAACACATCACAATTCAGCTCCAGGAGCATCCCCTCAGGATCCTGGATACATCACACTCCCTTTATAATATTATAAGGTTTGTTTCTATTTTTAGAAACAATACGTCTTCACTATTCTGGGGTAAAGCTGGACATTTTATGCCAAAATTTTACCTCGATTTACAGATCAGGAAACAGATAAGGTCTATTTTATAGGGATTCTGCAAACATTCTTCATTTCTTCCTAATCCACTGCAGGAAGGAACCACTCACAATAAGACATCTATGGAATCCAATTTTTAAAAAAGCAAAGCCACAAAAAAGAAACAATGTCATAGTCATAAGGAGCAAACCTACTCCTACCACTTGACATTGTCTTTAAGCTTCTTGAGCCCGGAGGGGGGACAATGACTAACAAGACTAAAGAAGAAACCACTGCAAAGCAGATTATAAAACAGGAAACACCATGTAAGAGAACTACCAGCTTACAAATACAGAACTTGAAAAGATGAGGAAAGAGGATTAGTTTTTTTTCTGGAATAGCTTGACCCATTTCTTTAATCTGGAAGCGAACGAAAGCAGATGTTTTTCTGGAAACTCACCAAGTTTTCATTTACTATGCCATCGCTCGCTGCAAAGAAAGCCAGAACATGGGATATAAAATATCTCTCCTCAGGCTTCAGGGATTCCCAGTGCTGAATGTCCTTGGAAAGATCCACCTGAGGTTTAAGAGGTTCACAAGGGTCGGTAAGCATGTGGGGCCGTACACACACATACCTAACCCTCAGACCTTCTTCTGTTAAGTGTCCTGACACCACTTGATCGGGAACATCCCTCCCACGCACGGCTCCCTTTGCCACTTGGAACATCTCACATCCTCGGGGGGCAACCATCCCCAAGAGGGGCAAGAGGAAGAGTTAAGTATATTTCAAGCAAGTTGCACCCACTCCTGCAGGGGGCTTCCTCTGGGGGCAACGCTTACTACACTTAACCTTGTAGGGCCCCAGCTCCTGCCTCGGTTTACCTCTTCGGCTGTCCAAAAGGAAGCCTCCGCTTTCTTATACATCTGCCAAATATCATGGTACTCGATAGGGAAGATGACAAAGCGACGGGGGTTTTCTCTCAGCAGTGGCTCCTCCTCCGCGCTGGAGGCAAGTACCTTAGTTTTCTGTGGGGGCGAGAGAGTAATGAAATGTCTCTGGTAGGGCGAACCACATGAAATCGCCACTTTTTGCGGCCGAGCGCGTTCAGTTACCGGCAATCCCGTGTGGTTCGGCGTGTGAAGTGTCAGCTGTCGTCGTTCATCGTACAGAGAACACAACCGGGGTGCAAGAGGGGAAAGGGGGGAATCTGCGCAAGTGTGAGGAAGGGCAGACGGGGCGGGAGGGAATGCCTTGGCGGGAAAGGAGCGCGGGCCGGGAGGGGCTGGGTTAGAAACGCAGGGGAGACAATGAGGCTTTGGCGCCAACAGGCGGCGGGCGCCCCCTGCCGGCAGCGCCCCGCCCGCACAGGCCGCTTGCCCGCCGGCCGCCCCGCCACTCACCGGCTCGGCGGGCTCCTGGAAGATCCTCCGGGCGGTCTTGCTGGCCAGCACGCGGGTGCCGCTGAGGGCCGGGGGCTGCGGGGAGACGCGCGGTGAGGGGCAGCCCCGGCCCGCAGGCCCCCCGCCCCCGGGCCCGCGCGCGCGCTCACCGTGTTCTCCTTGTCCGCCAGGCTGAGCCCCTTGAGGGGCGAGAGCTGGAGCTGCTGCTGCTGCTGCTGCTGGGGGTCCGCGATGGTGGCGAGCGGGACGCGGACGGAGAGCATGGCGGCGGCAGGCAGCTCGGCGGCGCTCGGCGGCGGCGGCGGCGCGCAGGTCCGGGGAGCCCCCGCGCCGCCGGGCCGGCCTTAAAAGCCCACCGCCGAGGGGCGCGCGCGGTGGGCGTGGCCAGGCGCCGCCTTCCCATTGGATGCGCCGGCCGGACGTCCGCGATTCGAGAGCCGCGCGGGAGCCCCCGCCGCCGGCCGCCCCGGACCCTGCGGGACCCCTCGGGGACCCCCGAGACCCCCGGGACCCCCGGGCCCGCCGACCGCGCGAGGGGCGCCGCCGCCCGGGCCCCTGCGGGCCCCCCGCCCGGGCGAAGGGTGCAGCCCCCGCGCTATTCGGTGGCCGTGGCGCGCGCGGGACTCGCCTACCCGGGAACCGCTCGGGATTGAATGAAGCAACGCGATTGGAGGCCGCCCGGGAGCGGGCGGGAGACCATTCCCCCACCCCTGAACCGTTTTCGCGGGTTGAGGCGAGTGGTTTTGCAAATGAGGTTGGTGCAAATGCCTGGAAACGCCCCCGGCTGCGAGAGACGAGCGCGGGGGTGCGACCGTTTAGGTACGTGTCCCTGGGTGGGGGTTTAGGGGTCCTCGAGTTCCGGCTGACCTGGCGGCCGGAGGGTCGGTGACAACCGTGCTGCCTAACGGTTAGGGTCGCTGGCCACTGAGTCCCGCAGTGCAGTTGCTGTGTCCCTCACCTGGTTGTAAAAGATTCCTTGCCCTCCTTGGTAAAATGGGACTAGTCGCCCGACCTAACCTGTGGGATCATTAATAAAATGAGATCAGCGCGATAATTCTGGTAAAAATGCACAGTCCTTTGTAAAGCCGAGTTAACTAAATGCCAGAGAGGGCCTTTGGTACAGTTTGCCACTGAACTTGTGCCTGGTGTCAGACCACCTTCCCCTATGTCAGCATTTTTAAAAATCAGAAGCTGAGCAAAAACATCTTGAAAGCTTGAAGAACTGGGAATTCATCTGCTGCTTATTGGGCATCAAGTAGTCTGAAGAGATTGAAAACCTGCATTGTCATGAGGCAGACACGAATTAATTAACAGTTTTTGTTTTACTTTGTATTTGGTTTTTTTCAGATTTGCCAGACATTTGCCGTGCAAGTGGCAAAATGCCAGAAATGAAGAGAAAGAAATGTTAATAACCAAGAAATAAATGATTCCCCTGTGAAAAGTTCCAAAATCTGCAAACACTCTTAGGGCTGTCACTAAGAGAAACACTGGACTTTTTACAGGGTCTTTTGTAGATATTATAAAGAGGTCCGAGGTAGGGAAGATCCCCCTCCTCACTTGGGTCTGTTTCTTCCATTTCTTAGTACCACGTACATACTGTGTTTAATGTATTCTCAAGCCTCAGAAAGATCAGTGACGATCCTAGCCCTTAGACAAAGCAAGAACTAAAACTTTGGTCTAGCATCCTTAGTTTTAAAGCAACTCGCAGGCATTGTCAATTCCACCTTCTTTCAGCATCCAGCTCCAGAAAAACGGGTATTGTTAGGGATGATTTTATGGCTGATAAAGCCATTATCACATCTAATAAATGTGTCAAGGATACCCTGGTATCCTCCACTACCCAACTCACATTCCGATTTCGCATCATCCATAACGAAGTGCTCCTTTCGGTTGCTGTCTCGGGCACCATGTGCTTTTTGCTTAGCTCCTGTTATATACTCTGTATGTACAGGAACCCATGAAAGTATCACTCTGGGAGCCAGCCAGAATTTGACTTCGTTCTTAGCTTCACTTTTTCCTGACTCCCCAAACAACACGGGTGCACTGTAGAAAACTGGGGAAGACCAGAAGTAGGTAGCACGAGGCAGAAAGAAAGGTCGCCGCCATTCTCCCCTTCACCCCTCCCGACGGTGAGTCACGGGGGCACGTCCCGTGCTCCCTCCCCCGCGCTCCGGCTGCTCGGACTTTCCAAGAGGAAGCGGGCGCCGAAAGCTACGTGGCTCCGCTCGGAGGTCACACCCCGAGGAGCCCGCCCGGCCGGGCTTCGGGCCCCCGGTGCCTCCTCTGCCCTGCGGCCCGGAGAGAGACGGGGGCGCACGGCCAGACCGGGGGACCCGGGCGCCGCGACAGGATGCGCCCCGCGGCCGCCACGCGCCAGCACCAGGCACCGGGCGTCTGCGGTTCCTTTTCGTTTCCTCTGGGCGCCCGTTTTGACATCTGCTCTACGATTGGCCGGCGGGAGGGAGAGGCTCCGCCCCCAGCCTCCAGGGGGCGGGGCCTCGGCGCCCAGCCCCGCCCCCCACTTCCGGGCCCGCGCTCCCGCCGCCCCGCCCCTCGCGGTTGCGCCTTTACCCATCCTCCTCCCTCCAGCTGGCAGGGCGAGGTGGCCCCTAAGGGGTCACTTCCCCATCCACCCCCCACAGGCAGAGGCCCGGGCCCGGGAGCTCAAGCGGCTTTCTCAAAGCCACTGCTCACTCCCTCCGCCAGACACCTGCCAGGGACGGCCTGTTAACCCTCCTGGTGACAGCCACCCCGCAGCCCCTGGGCACCTGAGCCAGGTGCTTCCGGCTTGTAACCCAGACAACCGTGGGGGGGGCTTTCAGGCCTTTTCAGGTGAAGAAAGGAAGGCCTAGGAGGCAAGGAGACTGCCCAAGGTCACACAGCTCCAACCGCACAGCTAGAATTTTTCTGTCCCAACTTCTTTTTACTCGTTTTAGAGGTAGGATTGGGTGCTCATCAGTTGCACAGAACACCCAGCGCTCACTCCCTGCCCTCCTGAAAGCCCATCACCCCTAACCCTGTCCCCCTACTCACCTCCACCCCAGCCACCCTGTTTATTTCCTGGAGTTAAGAGTCTCTTATGGTTTACCTCCCTCTCAATTATCCTCTTACTTTATTTTTCCTTCCCTTCCCCTGTGTTCATCTGTTTTGTTTCTGAAATACCACATATGAGTGAAATCATGGTATTTGCCTTTTTCTAACTGACCAGTTTTGCTTGGCATGATACCCTCTAGCTCCATCCACATCACTGTGAACGGCAACGTTTCATTCTTTTTCATGGCTGAGTAATATTCCATCGTAGGTATATACCACCACCTCTTTCTTTTTCTTTTTTTAAGATTTTTATTTATTCATTTGAGAGAGCAAGAGCACTAGCAGATGTGTGTGTATGGGGGAGGGGGTTAGAGGGAGAGAGAGAAGCAGACTCCCCTCCCCACGCAGGGTGCCTGACCTGGGGCTCAATCCCAGGACCCCAGATCAGGACCTGAGCCGTAGGCAGACACTTAACTGACTGAGCCACGCAGGTGCCCCTACCACATCTTCTCTATCCATTCACATGTCAATGGACATCTGGGCTCTTTCCATAGTTTGGCTATTGTGGACATTACTCTAAACATTGGGGTGCATGTACCCCTTTTAGTCACTTATCTTTTGGATGAATACCTGGTAGTGCAATTGCTGGGTCATAGGATAACTCTATTTTTAACTTTTTGAGGAACTTCCATACTGTTTTCCAGAGTGGCTGCATGAGTTTGCACTCCTACCAACAGTGTAAGAGGGCTTCCCTTCCTCCACATCTTCACCAATATCAGTTATTCCTGGAGTTGTTCATTTTAGCCATTCCCTCCCTCAACTTTTTATTAGGAATATTTCAACAGACACAAAAATGGAAAGAATTCTCCAGCATTCACCCACCACCAGTGTAGGATTCAACAATCATTTCCCCTTTGCCATATTTGCTTTCTCCCCTTCACTGGGTATGTGAGGCTTTTGGGTTTTTTCTAGATCATTTGAAAGTGAGGTGCAGATGCCATGCCATGTCACCCTCAGACCTTTCAATATATTTCGGCAGGTATCTCCTGAAACTAAGGACATTCTCTAAACATAACCATGGGAACATGTTCACACCTAAGAAAATTAACATTAATTCCTTAATACTATCTAATATCTAGCCCATAATCAAGTGTTCCCAGGTATTTCAAATATGTTTTTTTCACTTTGTCCATTTTAAGTGCACACAGTACATTTGGTTATTGTGTCTTTTTGTTCTCTTTTATTCAGAACAACTCTCCTATTTCTTTTTCCCCATGACATTGACTTTTTAAAGTTCAGGCCAGTTTTCTTGTCAATTGTCCCACATTCTACACTGGCCTCATTGGGTCTCCATAGTGTCATTTAACTTGTTTTGCTAACCCCTGTATTTGTGTGTGTGTGTGTGTATTTTTAAATATTTTTAATATAAAAAATAAATATATTTATATATAATGGGAGTTCTGTCTAAAGGCTTTATTAGATTTAGCTTTTTTTATTGTAGTAAAATATACATAAGCTATGATTTACCATTTGAGCCATTTTCAAGGAGCAAATCAATGCCATGAAGTTCACTATACTATTGTGCAACCTTCAATCACCACCCTGCATCTCTAGAACCCCTTCATCCCAAACCGAAACTCTGTCCCCATTAAATACTAGCTGCCCATCCCCCCCGCCCACCAGGCTCTCATAACCAGCATCTGTCTTTGCCTTCCTGAACTTGACTAAGTGCCTTAGGTAAGCGGAATCTTACAATATTTCTCCTTTTGTGACTGGCTTATTTCACTCAGCATAACATCCTCCAGGTTCATCCATGTTGTGACCTGGGTCAGGATATCGTTCATTTTTAAGGCTGAATAAGATTCATATTTAAGAAGAATAATAAGAATAATGATAAGAATAAGATTTAATAAGAATAAGATCCATATTTAAGGCTGAATAAGATCATAAGATATGCCGAATTCTGTTTATGAAATTTCCTTCCTACAACCCACCTGTCCCTTCTGTCCGGGGAGTTCTTTTGTTTCCCAACCATGAGGCAGCAAAGTCAGCCATTCTCAAAAACTGTGAGCTGCTCCCGGTGTGGCTCCAGAGCAGCCCCTTCCTCCCTCTGAACTTGACATTCGCCTTTCACATCTTCAGGATGCTCAGAATCCTGTTGAGGAAACTGCCTTGGAGGGAAGCCGGAAAACACAATACTCCATCCCAAGTGTGACTTGCTAGCTGTGGGACTGCAAGAGTGGGGCGGTGAGCCAAGGGTAGAGTTGGGTCAGCCTTTTTCTGCCCTCCGGTCCTCCGTCAACCACAGAAAACCCAACTGGGGACCTCCCCTCCACTCATCTCTCATAAAAATGCTACCCTCCTGCTCCCTGCAGTTTGCCCCAGGGCCCTTTCCCTCCCTCTTTCTGGGCCTGATCACCAGGGCTTTCCCTACCAATCCTCAAACTCCCTACTCTCACCTTCCTGCCAGGCCAAGCCCCTCTCCAGGCTATGTCTGAAAGAGGATTCCAAGGTTGACTTGAAAAAAGAAAGAAAAATAAAGGGCGCCTGGCTGGCTCAGTCGGTGAAACATCTGCCTTTGGCTCAGGTCATCATGATCTCAGGTTCTGGGATAGAACCCCCGCATCTGGGCTCCCTGCTTAGCAGAAAGCCTGCTTCTCCCTCTGTCTCTGCCCCCCAACCCCCATCTCTCATGAATAAATAACTTAAATTTCAAAAAGAAAGAAAAAAATAAGGATGGAAGGGCACAATGTTGTAGGCCCAGGATAAGTTTATTTCCTCACAATCAAGATCAGCTTCCTGTTGGCTTATTACTGATAATTTTTTCTTAATAGCCTCCTTCCCTGGATAAGGGGCCACAATAGTGAGTTCTTTCTAGGTACTGTGGTCGCATACATGTATGTTTGGGCAGAGAGGGGACAGCAGCTGTAAATGTCATTCTGAACTGGTAGACTTAGAGCAACCTATGCAAACGGGTTTGCAAG